TGAAATAGAGTGAGATTATGTGTTAACAGAGGTAGGTACAAAGTTATACTTGAGGTTTATTACATATAGATGCTCTTTGACTGACAGTGGGATTACGTCCTGATAAACACAATGCTAAGTTGAAAATATGAGTCAAAATGCATTTAACACACTTAACCTACTGACATCATAGCTTAGCCTGCCTTGAACATTTACCGTAGCCTGCAGTCACGCAAAGTCACCTAACACAAAGTCGATCTTAAAATAAAGTGCAGATTATCTCACGTCATTTACTGAATACTGCACTGAAAGTGAAAAACAGAATGGTTGTATATGGGTACTTCATGCACGGTATTGGTTTTGCATCACTGTAAACGGCAAAAGATTCATGCAGTCTGAAGAGAAAGCAGGGTATTTTTACACTCCGGTAAAATTAAAATGCCATAAACCGTTTTAAGTCAAGGGCCACCTGTACGCAGCATGGGTTCCTCCTTTCCATCTTACAGATAAAAATTCTTAGGTTCACCATGTTATCTGTGGATCAAATACTGCTCTGAAGTGACGAGGCCTCCTTTCTGCCCAAGCCACTTTGCCACTTGTAGTGGGAAGCAAAGGTAGAATTTACAGGGCGGAGAAAGGTGGTTAAAGAAGGCTTCAGAGGTTTTCTTTAGGCAAGGCAGGCGCTGGTCAAAATTAGGAGTTTTGTGCTCAGCGATATGAAAACAGCATTGAAATCACCATTACATGACTGATACTACAGCTGCCTCTGGGTTTTGCTAATTTCTTTCTACCCACTCAGCTGTCCCCCAACACTAGCCACAATGAAAGTAACGACCGTCTCTGTTGTCACAGTATTGTTTGATTACAGAAACCTCCTTCAGAATAAGTTAACTTCCCCCTTCCTTCTTATCTTGGAGAAAACATTATGATTCCCACTGGATATTGTCATAGACATTAGAGATACTAAGCATAGGAAAATGTAATTTTGTCTGTTTTGATACCGTGAGTATAAAAAACCCATGATGTGGGGAGATAAATAGGGTTTGCCCCGTCTTCAAGATGCTGACCTGCCTTCTTTGACCAGTTAGGGCAATTCTAAAGGACCAAATGGACTTTCAGACTTTTTTTGTTTCCAGTTTCAGATATGAACATCAGGGAAGTCTTTGACATTTCACTTTTGAAGTATATTCTGAGCATTTGTAGTCTGTCAAAGGAAAATCCTTGGTGAGGATACATTTCTTTTTGAAGGCATCAGTTGTACTTGGAAGTTAAAAGTATTTTCATCGGAATGTGGCATCTCTCCTGAAGGCTGTATTTACTAATGTCACACTGGGATACTGGAAGGCCACTTTAAAATCTTTTAAATTATCTCAGTTTTCCCCCTAATTAAAAAAAAGCTTAAAGTATTTGTATAAGACTTTCTAGAAAGATAGGGACATGTATATACATGTGTGCATACATATACACATATATGTATTCCTATGTATTAATATAATTTCTATATAATAGGAATAATTTTTAGATATTAATAGAAGTTCCAGATATATAAGAAAATTATGGATTATTTTCTTTTCTGTTTATGCGTTATTCTGATTTTATTCAATGAATGCCTGTTAAATTTATAATAAAAAACATAAATAGTGCTCAAACCTTTAAAAGTACATTTAAGGTATGGGATTTAGCGGGTGCATGAATACTTACTAACAGAGCACGTAGATGAAAATGTTGGTGATCATTTTCTTAATGCTTATGATAAATATTAACTTAGGTTGGAATTTGAGTGTTAGAGTTTGGTGGCCGTGTAGACATTTATAGGGCACAAAGAAGCAGCAAGGTGATGAGTATAATAAAGTTGAAAATCAACAGTTAGCCAGGCGTGGTGGCAGGCGTTTGTAGTCCCAGCTGTTCAGGAGGCTGAGGCAGGAAGATTGCTGGAGCCCAAGACGTGGAGGCTGCAGTGACCTCTGAGGACACCACTGCACTACAGGCCAGGTGACAGAGTAAGACCCTGTCTCAACAACAACAACAAAAATCAACAGAGAAGAGTTAGAATAAATGCTAATAGTGGTAATATTTTGGAACACTAATGAGAAGAAATACTAGAGTGCCATTTTCATCTTTAAAACTTTTAGAAAAGAAAATTCAAATATATGTGAAGGTAAACAGAATATTATAAGGATCCCAGGGTACTCAGAACCCGATTTCAACGATCAGCTAGCTACTCATGCCAATCTTGTTTCATTCGTCATCTTCCTCTTCCTTCTCTGCCAACCATCCCTGGGTTATTTCCAAGCGGATGCCAGCCCTCCTAAGGGCATTAAGCTCATTCACTTAGTGCTTTGCATTACTTAGTGCTTTGTAATAAATGAGGACGCTTACTCATGTACGCACTGCAAGTTACTGTTCGCCCTACCTAGCATCCAAACAAGGTCTGTACATTATGGATACAGGATCTCTTAAGTCTCTCTTATTTTATAGTTTTTTGTTAATTTTTAATTTTTTTTTTTGAGATGGAGCCTCAAGCTATCCCCCTGGGTACAGTGCCATGGCATCACGCTCACAGCAACCTCCAACTCCTGGGCTCAAGCGAGTCTCCTGCCTCAGCCTCCCAAGTAGCTGGGACTACAGGCACCTGCCACAACGCCCGGCTATTTTTTGGTTGCAGCCGTCATTGTTGTTTGGCGGATCTGGGCTGGGGATTCGAACCTGCCACCTTAGGTGTACGTGGCTGGCGCCTTAGCCGGTTGAGCTATAGGTGCTGAGCCGTCTTTGCTACTCTGAATAGTGCTGCAGTAAACATACGTGTATTTTTCTGATAGAATGACTTATTTTCCTTTGGGCAGATACCAATAATGGAATTGCTGGATCAGTCTACTTTCAGTCTTTGAGGAATCTCAATACTGTTTTCCATAGAGGTTTTATTTATTTACATTCCCACCAACAGTGCCTGACCATTCTCTTTCCTCCACATCTGTGCCAATATCTTTTGTTTTTTTTCAGTTTTGACCGGGGCCAGGTTTGAACCCGCCCCATGCCCTACTCCTTGAGCTATAGACGCCACCCACTATCTATTGTTTTTTGACTTTTTAATAGTGGCTATTCTAACTGGAGTAAGAGAGTATCTCACTGAAGTTTTAATTTGCATTTCTGTTTAATGATGCTAACTTTTTTTCACATTGGCCATTTGTATGTCATCTTTTAAAAAATGGTCATGTCCTTTGCTCACTTTTTAATGTTTTTCTTTTTCTTGAGTTCCTTGTAGATTCTTGGTATTAGTACTTAGTCAGATGCATAGTTTGTGAATATTTTCTCCTATTCTATAGGTTGTCCATTTACTCTGTTGTTAATCTATAGGTTTGTGTCCTTTCTACTTCGTGATTTTTTTTTTGCTTGAGAAAAACTGGATTACTTCTCCTGTAGTTTCACATTTTGAATTTTATTAATAGCATTACATTCATTGGTGTAGCAGTTTGTGATTCTCTGGCTAGTATTTCTTATAAACTGGTAAATCCAGAAGCTTTATTAAAGTTTGATAATATTTTTGTTCTTGTAGCAAGTCTATCACAGGTGTATGTGACCAAATAAATCTAGTATCTAAAGTAGTTGGGGGGTCCTGTAAAGACATCTAGGTAAACAAAAGTAATTGGGAGGCAGAGATATTAGTGAATTGAATTTTCTAGAATAATATACCAGTTAAAATTATTGCCAGGAGTCTTTTAGCATGAATCCAGATACTTAAGAAGAACTGAAAGGAGTTCATAGGTCCAAGTTAGCTGGCCTGAAAGAGTCATGGAAATGACCCCCAGGACTGCAGTGGGAACTGTGAGTTACATACAATGCATTGTAGACCTTCGCCTGCTCTGGTAGCTTCTGGCTATTTAAATTATTAACATTGAATTTAAAGTTAAGTTGTTCATTCAAACTAGTTGTATCTCAAGTGCTTGGGAGCAGCACATGGTTAGCAGCTAGCACACTGGGCTGCGTAGATAGAATTTTCTGCAATGATGGAAATATTCTCTATTTAGTCAGGTTTGGGGTTCTTTGGAGCGAGCATGGGGCAGCAGATAAACTCAATGTCATTTTCTTGGCATTCAAGTAGATTTTAAAATATGTGGTGGTAAGCTCTCAGTAAATGCTATAGTTTGGATTTCTGTAGTGCTGTCCTTAGACAACTGCCCTTTTAAGACATGCTGCTGCAGCCTCATTTCTTTGTTGGTGGAAAGTATGAGTACTGTGCCTATGAAGATGTTTGTTAGAGACACCCTTCACGTCTCTGGTTATGATGTTGCTCAGCCTGCTAATAAACAGCATACTGATAAGTGACACATAAATAAAAGGAAAGCTGTGAGAGTTGCTGGGGTAATATGATCAGAAACACATGAATGGTATCTCTTAAGTTTCTTAGTAACAGTTTTATGAAATGATTCCACAGAGTGAAGGTTTTATAACACCAAAAAATGAGTTAGAGCAAGAACAAAAAAAATTTAACTGTAACAGACATACAGTATTATTCAAAAGTAAACTTTAAAGCTAGTTGAGCAGGCCATTCCTTAAATTCTAAGTGGTATGGAGAAACAAAACTTTCCAAAAGGATATCTTGTTATCAATTGTATTGCATATAAATATTAACTTAATGGGCTCGGCGCCTATAGCTCAACCGGCTAAGGCGCCAGCCACGTACACCTAAGGTGGCGGGTTCGAATCCCCAGCCCGGACCCACCAAACAACAATGAC